TGTTGCCACAAATAATTGCATTTTATAACTGGTTTTGATGCAAGATCAGAGAATGAATTGCTTCTCTCATCTGAACCACCAAAGGTGTCGCTGTACCCAGAGACCCTCCAAGCACACTGGACAGATGGCTCTGCTGGCTTCATCAATTATTTTTAGAAACACCTCAAGTTACATAAATTAGCTGTTTATTTGTATGGCAAACTGTGGGGCTTATGATGCAAGAGACACTAGAAAGTTGAATGTGAATAAAATTAATACGAATAATAGAATCACTTAAGTTGGGAAAGATCTTTAAGATCACCAAGTCCAGCTGTAAACCTAATGCAGCCAAGTCCACCACTAAACTATGTCCCTAAGTGCCAAGTCTACAGGTCTTTTAAATGCCTCCTGAGCAGCCTGCTCCAATGCCTGATTACACTTTAGGTAAAGGAATTCTTCTTAATATCTAATCTAAAACTCCCCAGGCACATCCTGAGGCCATTTCCCTTATCCTTTCATTTGCTATTTGGGAGAAGAGATTGATACTCACTGCTTTGAAGGTACCATGCCTAGACACTTGTGAAAGAGAGACTTGTACAGCCTGTGCCTGCTGGGAAGGGCATGAAACTCTGGCCCAAGGTGAGATCCAGCCCACCCAAGCCTGTGTGGGAGGCTCCCACGGGGTCAACTGTACAGAGATTCCAGGTGGTGACTCAGGCTTAAAATCTGGGCTGTATGGGCTAGAGATCTCCACACTTCTGCAGTAGTGCAATAATCAGGAACACATCTCTCTACATCCACTTGGAAGCCCACAAGAACCCCATCCACATTGATGATGTGCAGACTTGGCTTTAGACCGAGACAGAGCAAGTGAGAATGCCAGCTTAGCTTACTGTGAAACTCTTTGTTGCTGCTTCTCCATCAGCTCCACCACCACTTTTGTCACTACAAGAGTCAAACTATGCTGTTTCTCTTAGAGACCATCTCAAGGTTTCTCTTCATGTAGTTGGAATATGCTTTAACTTGAAGTTTAAATTTTCCATGTAGCCCTTGGGCTCTTTTATTTATTCCTGATACAAAGCAGATACTGATTATTGTAACCCAACATATTACTTCAAGTACGTTACTGATGAGAAGATTCTTAAATGCAATTATCACTACATGTAATAACAATCATGTTCTCCTGCTCATTCCTGATAGCAGTAGTGCCAGCTGCCAGCAATTTTACTTGCAGAGCAAGCTGTTAGTCAGAGTGAACAGAAGGTTAATATCTGTGTCACAGATGATACACGTGCCATTTACTGAGATTCCTCTTTTTCCTAGTACTTGGAGTTAAGATTTAACAAGATTGTCCGTCTTGCTGCAACACTGATTTACATCCTGCAGACGGTAAGGAAACATTGACTCTTGGTTTGTGCTAATTTCACTCATTCATTTTTAGGGATTAGTCTCAGACTGGACATTTTTTTATATTGAGATATTTTAATGACAACCCTTCCCCTCCGCCACCACTTGGACTGTGAATTTCAAAAAGAAAGAATGGTTGCTTTCCTAACTTTCTAGCTTTCTTCTGTTTAGGATTAAAAATGTCATTTTTGTTTTCCTTGACACTTGGATGTTGTGCTGAACTCACACAGATGCTTAAATTCTTGATCTCATTATGTTCCCTTGAAGCCTCTCTCTAAGTGAGTGGATCCTGTCTTTCTTGAGAAGCCAGCTGAGCTGTGCTGGTTATGTTTAGTTCACCAGTCACCCACTCACAACAGGAGGGTGAGGTTGTCCCACTGCAAAGCAGCTGCACATGGCAAGGGCTGCTCCCAGGGACTAAGCCCAGGAGCCCACAGGGCAGAAATTCCTGCCTAGCATGTGCAGACTCCACATTTATATGCTGCTCTGCATCACCATAAACCACTGACTAGCCACTTCACACCCTCCCATGTGTATGTAAAATAAATAACATTCCTGGCTATTGGATGGGGAGGCTGAGGAGAGAGTAGCTTTACTTACCCCCCAAAACACCACTTTACTACTACTTAACTTTATCTACTTACTTTACCAAAAGAAACCAAATTTCCAGGTACTATTCTAAACATCAAACAGCTTTTTATACCCTTTGGTTTAAAGCTTCACCAAGTTTCTCAAAAGAATGCAGTAGTCAAGCATTTGATGGAAAGTCTTGGGACACTGGCAGACATTTCTTTCTACATTAATTCAATTTTATTAATTCCAAACCCTTTTGCAATAGCTTTGAATGTTTATTGATTTCCAGGCTCTGTTTCTCCCTCAGTTGTCAGAAGATATATGTGAATGGCATTGAGACAGCTACTTAGAAAGGATTTGAATGGAAGTAGGGAAGTTTGATTTCCAAGATCAAGTTATCTCTGCATCACCGTCCATGTTTCCAAGAGCTCCACTTTCCATTTGACTAGTGATTTGTGTCATCTGGTCATCTTAGCAATGAGTGAAATAAGTAATACTAAGACAGATAGTGGCCCTTCCAGCAGAAAAGAACTAAATAAAGGATTATTATTTTGTAAAGGTTGAAGCAGAAAGCTGAAATAAAGAAACTTCTTGATCCGGTATTTTTCTCTCAGCCTCACTCTAAATATAACCCTTATCACTGAGCATTCACATATATACTTGTTTTTTTTCCCCCATTAACTTTTCCTCCTTCAGATCCTTTACACGGGAATAGTGGTTTATGCTCCATCACTGGCACTCAACCAAGGTGAGTTTCCATGTCACACTACATGAATACCCCAAATACCCACATCACAAGACAATTAGAATAAGCAAAGTAAGGAAAATAGATTAAGTAGTCTGAAACAGAAAAAATCCTCTCATGTTTTTGAAGGTTTTTGCCTGCACCTTGTAGCTCTGCATTTCTGACTCCCCAGATCTCTCACACTAATACATTAGCAGGAGCCTCACATTTACTGTTCTGTTCTCCTTTGCACTCAGTAACCACCCAAAGTAGTTAGCAATGAACAATTTCCCAACATCCTGACAAAGTTCACAGTACAAGCTGACGATCCAAGACCGTATTCTGTACTTTGATTCCCCCCTTCCCTGTCTCTCACGGGCACAAATCCATTCCCTGTTGCTGGAGCTGAGTGTTGTGCCACTGTCTGCACACTTCTCAATTAATCTGCATCCAGCATCCACCATGAGAGATGGGATTAGCAATTTTATTGCACTTTTCCTTGTCATCTTAGTTGCATCCAGTGTGTCCAATCCCAGCTCTCACACTGTGCCAAGCTTCCTTCCTCTGGAGCTCAACTGCATTTTGTATGACAGTTCACATCACAAACTTTACTAATAAGAGAACCTTTACAACTAGATTTGCCCTCACAATCCATGCCAGGTGGGAGGGAATTCAACATAAACCAATCTAAAATTTTTACATCTTTTATACATCAACTTTATAAAGTAAAATTCACATGATAAATTGCTTTATGCAGCACATTTTAGTGTTAAACTCTTCCTAGTTGCAGGGAATGAAATTCAACATAAACCAATCTAAAATTTTTACATCTTTTATACATCAACTTTATAAAGTAAAATTCACATGATAAATTGCTTTATGCAGCACATTTTAGTGTTAAACTCTTCCTAGTTGCAGGGAATGAAATTTTAGCTTGGGGTTGGCTTTTTTTTTTTTTTTTCTTAAGACTCTTTGGAAATCTCTGAAGAACTTATTTCTCAAGAGAAAATTCTGGACTAAGAAAAGAAGGAAAGCACTGCTTATAAAGCTGTGTCCCACAGGAGTGATGTTTGTGCTTTGTGCAATTATTCTTCTTATGTATTGCTTTTGCACACTGGAAAGTGAGTTAAATCCAATGTGCAAGAAAACAGCAATGCAAAACAGTATCCAGTAGTGTTAACAAACCTGAACAGTCCAGCAAAGAATCTAATATGGACAAAGAATAAATAAATTAGTAATTACTCCCACCCTTGTAGGGCTGAAGGATTGTAGCTTTTCTGTTGCCACCCGGATGCCACTTTCTCTAACCATTTGATTTTCTTTGGTTTCACAGTTACTGGATTTGATCTCTGGGGCTCTGTAGCTGCAACAGGAATTGTCTGCACTTTCTATTGCACTCTGGTACGTAAGAGGCATAAGTAAACAGCTGGAGCACAGCTGTCATATAAAGGATGGTTAATTCAGCCATCATCTATACACAACTGGCTGTAGTAGATAAGTGGCTTCTAAATACAGCCCGAGTAACTGAAGTTTAAAGTACTAGAATATAGAGAAAAACTTCCTATAGACTCTGTGGTACAAATAGGTCTATTTGAAGAAAGAAAAAAAATTACCTCTCCAATCCTCTGCTGTACCTCTCAGGGTTTAAGCTAGACAGCTTGAGGCAGAGTTCAGATAAGGAGGTGATAGCCTTCCTCTGCCATACTAAATCTTTTCAGAAGACGATTCTTATCTTTCGCAAGTTATAGACTGAAAAACATTGTAGTGAAAAATGTGCCTCCCAGATTACAAACAGAGAGATAAAGCCTAGGAAGGATGATCAACTGGTCATGGAGAGCTTTGCTTCTAAGAGGAAGCAGCATGAGACTATGGATTTCCTGGGGCTCAGGATACAACTTAATTTCTGTTCTCATTACCACTAATGAATTTGTTCAGTATTTCAGTCAATCCTTTTTGAAAACACTTGTTATGTTGCTCTGGCACAGATTTTATCAGATACTAAAGTAGCTATGGAAAAAAGCTAAATTACAAATTTTCTGGAGCTATTTTTTCTGTGTTGGGCTGTGGGTTGTGGACCACTGAGCTCAGAGAAGTGTAAGGTGCTGTAGGAAGTACAAACACAGGCCAATCTGTAATCCCTAAGCTTTTGTTCCCCTCCATGATATGTTCGTCAAATTAATATAAAGGATGCAGAAAAATAAGCATTTAATTGGAGGTCAAATATTCTCAGTATGCTTGTAGACAAACTGTTTATACTCTGTACTGTTTTCTGCAAAAATACAGCCTTTGTGGAAGAATGTAGAGGAAGTTAAAGAAAAGGCCTGATTTGCTAGATGCTATACATGAGCCCCTGAAATAAGGGTTCTTTCTACCTTTTGCTGTTCTTGAACAACAGGAAAGAAGATGAGAGCATATGGTTTCTGTTTGTTTTAGGGAGGATTGAAAGCTGTTGTCTGGACAGATGCATTTCAAATGATGGTCATGGTGGCTGGCTTCGTGGCAGTCTTGATTCAAGGAACTACTCTGAATGGTGGATTGACCAAGGTCTGGCAAAATGCCCAAGAAGGAGCACGACTAAATATCTTTGAGTAAGAAACAAATGGCACAAACCTTATATTTTTGTGCATTTAATATTTAGAAATCCTACCCTCACTAAGCCAAAAATACTCAGGCTTGTTATTATACAACTGCTGAAAAACCTTGGGGACTCAGAGAAGTCCATTCCCTATATCTTTGTTCTTGGGAATGTAGTTGAACTTCAGGAGACCCAAACTCCTCTTCCTATGACCCTCTGCAGAAATCAAAGCCCTGCTGAA